AGAACCAGCTTCAACAAAACAACGTTGGTGAAGTCTGGAGAGGCCTCAGAACCATCTCGGGCCACAAACAGCAGAACTCTCTGCCTGGGAGGGATGTGAGATGGGCAAATGAACTGAATCATTTCTTCAACAGATTTGATTCAGCCATGAGGCAGTCTGCAACATCGGCTGCAGACTCACCCACCCCCACCCCCACTGCTGCTGTTCCACCTCAGACACTTCACACCTCCTCTATTCACCCTGCTCACTCCCCCCCACCCCCAACTACAGCATCCAATACACACTCAACACAAGGCTCCAGCCTGTCTCTCTCAACCACCCAGGTTAGGAGGGAACTGAGGAGGATTAATGGCAAGAAGGCTGCGGGTCCAGATGGCATCAGCTCGAGGGTCGTCAGGTCCTGCGCGGACCAACTGTGTGGGGTGATGGAGCACCTCTTCAACCTGAGCCTGAGGTTGGGAAGAGTCCCACAGCTCTGGAAAACCTCCTGTGTTGTACCAGTGCCAAAGACTTCACGCCCCAAGGACCTCAACAGCTACAGGCCGGTGGCTCTGACATCCCACCTGATGAAGACCCTGGAGCGGTTGGTCCTGGCTCAGCTTCGGCGCCTAATAAGCTCATCACTGGACCCACTTCAGTTTGCCTACCAGCCTGGCATTGGAGCGGATGATGCCGTCATTCACCTCCTACATCGTTCCCTCGCTCACCTGGAGACCGCTGGAAGCACTGTGAGAATCATGTTCTTTGATTTCTCCAGTGCCTTCAACACCATTCTTCCCTCGGTTCTAAAGGACAAGCTGGTGAACTCTGGAGTGGACCATCACCTCACTACCTGGATTTTGGACTACCTCACCGACCGACCACAGTATGTGAGGACTCAGGGCTGTGTGTCGGACAGGGTCGTCTGCAGTACGGGGGCCCCACAGGGAACGGTTCTGGCTCCGTTCCTCTTCACCATCTACACTGCAGACTTCTCCCACAATTCCACCCAGTGCTTCCTGCAGAAGTTCTCTGATGACTCTGCAATAGTCGGCCTCATCACTGATGGGGACGACAAGGAGTACAGAGGTCTGACCCAAGACTTTGTGGACTGGTGCCAGCTGAACTACCTCCAGATCAACGCCAGTAAAACCAAGGAACTGGTGGTAGACTTCCGCAGGCACAAGCATTCTCCACTGCAACCACTGAACATCCAAGGTATGGACATTGAGGCTGTGGACAGCTACAGGTACCTTGGTGTTCATCTGAACAATAGACTGGACTGGACTCATAACTCAGACGCCCTCTACAGGAAAGGGCAGAGCAGGCTGTACCTGCTGCGGAGACTCAGGTCATTTGGAGTGGAGGGCCCACTCCTGAAGACCTTCTATGACTCTGTTGTGGCTTCTGCCATCTTCTATGGTGTGGTCTGCTGGGGCGGCAGCATCTCTGCTGGGGACAGGAAGAGACTGAACAGGGTGATCCGAAGGGCCAGCTCTGTTCTAGGATGCCCTCTGGACCCAGTGGAGGTGGTGAGTGACAGGAGAATGGTGGCTAAGCTGTCATCACTGTTGGACAACATCTCCCACCCCATGCAGCAGACTGTGACAGCACTGAGCAGCTCCTTCAGTGGGAGACTGCGGCACCCACGGTGTGGGACGGAGAGATTTCGCAGGTCTTTCCTCCCCACTGCTGTCAGACTCCATAATAAAGACTTTAACTGATCAAACACACACATCCATACATATGCAATAATACTAAGTGCAATAATCCTTTCTGTCATCATTGTATTTTTACTCAGTTGTATATAGCATTTGTATTTGTATTCTATTTTTATCTTATTGTATATTTATTTTATTTTATTCTACTGTATATAGTATTTTATTTTATTCTATTCTGTACAGTTGTGTACTGTATTTATTCTTATTGTATCCTAATTTTTGCCTCATAACTTTTGCACTGTCCACTTCCTGCTGTGACAAAACAAATTTCCCACGTGTGGGACTAATAAAGGTTATCTTATCTTATCTTATCTTATTCTTTCTCTCACACGGCGCCTAAGCTACGACCTTGGCTCCCTGTTTATCTGCTCCTGCTGAGATGGGGCAGAAAACTCCAGCATGTTCTGTTCTCTTCTAATCAGACAAATAAGGCGATGACTTTCTGCGAACAGTATTTCTTATAACTCAGCAGTATAATGCATCATAAAACAACATCATTCATTCACAATAAATCAGCAGTCTAATGTAATGCAAATCAGTTTAACAAATGCAATAGTTATCAGCTTCTTCTAATTCAGGAGAATAATGCAAACTAAAACTACATAATAATTCACAATCTTTAACTAGAAAAATTTGCATTTCCTGCGAAAATGCAGTGTGGATGCTTTAAAGCTAAGCTGTATGCAAAAACTAGCTGAAAAAGCTGAAAAGTTGCAGAAATTGTAAAAACTTTGCAGAAGCAAAGGAACTTTGCTAAAATGGAATAACTTAGCAGAACTGCAATATCTTAGAGGAAACATAATACTTGGCAGAAATACAATAGCATAGCAGAACTTAGCAGAAATATTGTAACTTACCAGAAACATTATAACTTCTCAAAAATACAAGAATTTAGGAGAAATAGTATAAGATAACAGAAAGAATATATTTAGCCAGAAATACTTAAACATTATGGAAACACTATGATTTAGAAAAATAGTACAACATAGCAGAAATACTGTGATTTACCAGAGACACTGTGATGAACTATGAATATTGTAATTTTAAATTAATACTATGTTTTAGCACAAATACTATAAAATGGCAGAAATACTATAATTTAGCAGAAATACTATATTAAGCACAAATCCTTTAAAAAGCAGAAATACTATATTAAGCAATATAAATATCCTATAAAAATCCTATAAAAAGCAAAAATACTGTGCTATTTGGTAGAAAAACTATAATTAATCAGAAATACTATATTTGGCAGAAATACTATATTTAGCACAAATCTTATAAAATAGCAGAAATAGTATGATTTAGCACAATAGTAATAACTTAAACAGAAAAATTGGAAAAGCAAAATGGACAGCTGAAAAAATGCTGAACATGCTGAGGGTCCCTCAAATATACTTGTTAAATGAAAAAAATCAGCAAAAAATATATATAACAGCCACACAATCACAAATATGTACACATAAGGAAACACACATGCACAGAGAGACACACACACAAGATCCAATTCAGTCAACCATTCTAAATATATTGAATTTAAATCTTACAATGAGATCATCCCATTAAAAGGCTTTCTCTCTCTGTCTCTCTCTCTCTCTGTCACACACACACACACACACACACACACACACACACACACACACACACACACACACACACACAGGGAGAGAGAAGTAAGTTTCTAGCTCAGTAGAGCAGACTGGGAGCTGCTGAATTTGAATCCACCAATCAGAGAGGCTGTGTATTTTTTCCCGCCAAAACAGGTGCACGCAGCACAGAGAGACGCAGGATTTTTTGCAGTCTATTTCTCATAGTGACAACTTCACTCAAACAAATGACCATCATTTCCTAACCGTAGGGGCTAGAGCGGTCATTCTTACACCGTTTTGTTCAGAAGAGATGGGGGAATCTTCAAGTGTTGACAATTTATCATTAAAATATGAATTATTAAAGATATTTGACTTGTAATGCACCATAACTGAGTAGAGCGAAGCAAAAACTGCCTTGACTTGCCCTCAAACAACGCTTTCTAACTCTAAATCTATTTGGAGTATCGATATCATTCTTTCACCGTAAGAGACAGCAGGCTTTGGTGAACAGTCATGGAAATTTTCAGGTCTCTGTGGAAATCCAACAAAAGTTATGACGAGAGAAAAAAGTGGTTCATTTCCAGAGTTTGAAATCTGAAGAAATCTGAGCGAAGGACAAATTTCCTACCCTCAAACAAGTCTAACTCATTTCAGAATGGTAATAGGTGAGAAAATAATTCTTGAATTGTGAGCGTCAGGAGTGTCTGAAGATATACTGGGACAAGCCTTATGTCTTAACTTTGCTTCGTTAAGGAGATATAACGATTTGAATATGCCTCTCGTTACAGAAATCAAGCGGTGATTTTGAACAAGCTCTCCATTGACTTTCTATGGAGAGTTTTGCGACTTTGTGTTGGTCTGAGGAGATTTGCCAAAATTCTATAAATCTCACAACAATGATAGTGACATTTTCGGAAAGCCAGCAAAAATACCTACGTTTTGATGTATAATTTGTGGAAGTTGAGTGAAAATTGAGCAAGTAGCAAGAAGTTGTTCGGACATGAAGAGAAGACTGCAAAACCTTCAGTGGCACACTGGAAGCCAAGTGCATAGCAACCATAACAACACATGTATTTTGTGAAAAATCACAATTGTGCAACTGAAAACTTTAAGAGGCATAAAAGTAAAACGGTAAAAGATTTGAAAAAGCTGATTTATACCTGAATAGCCCAATAATTTGAGAACATTTTAAAGTTTGAATGGTTGTTCTACGTGAAAATATGAGGAAGTAGTTAAGTTTCAGAAACAAGCAAATTTTAGCAGAATTGCAGAAGTTTCCCATTCATTTCAATGGGACAAATTAAGCTTAATATTTTAAAAAGTATAATAGTGAAAAATACCAAAAGACATAGCACACATTAGCAGAAATAGCAGAATAGTTTAAAATTTGAACGGTGAAAATCGGCTGAAAATTGCGGAAGTAGTTAAGTGCCAAAAAGCGTACGGAAGTCCCAAGAGGAACTCAATAGTGTGGATGCTTAAAGCATCCACACAATTAGGGGTCTAACCTGGCATAAAAATAATATTATAACCCCACAGTTCATATTAGAAACAGTCAGATTTACAGAGCAAAGAGAGCATTGTTGACGAGCAGAAAATGATGTTCAGCAGGTTTAAATGTAATTTATTTTTTTGATCTCTGTGTATTTTTTTAAAGCTCGATTAGCTTTTATTAAACACTTATTTCTATTTTTGTTAATTTCTCTTTTTTCAGACAAACATCTGGATGAACATCTGTCTGCACTGATCCATAAAGTGAGTAACGTCTCATCTGTCTGACTCTGCAGAGTTCAGCTTTGATTCAATAAGATGCAGTTTGAAAATCATAATTTCATCATTTAGATTAAACAGTTGTCACAGAAATGTTTTTAGATTAAAAATCAAACATTATTAAAAAGTGTGTTTACATAACTACATCTTAATAAATAAGATAATAAAAGAAAACAAAGTGTTTCAGAGAAAACTGTCATGGTCCTGAGTCTGAGGACTCAGTGTTTTGTGTTTCCTTATGCTTTTGTTCATTCCGAGTGTGTATTCTGTTGTGACTTTGCCATTTGTTAGGTTTCTGTTCTTTGCCTGCCTGCTCCCACTTCTCTGTGTTCCCTCTGTCTGTCCATGGTGTTATTGTGTCTACTTATGAGTCTGCCTGTCAAGTTCAGTGTCCTGTCTGGTTCTCTGTCTGTTAGTTTCCTGTTTTATTCTGGAAGTTCATGTCTCATGTCAGTGTGTTCAGTTTTACCTCTCCCCTGTCTCGTTAGCCTAATTGCTCCCAGCTGTGTCTCCCTCCTGTGGCCCATTCCCCTGATTACTGGTGTGTGTATTTAAGCCCTGTGTTTTCCTGTTGCCGGTTCGTCTGTGTTACTTCGTGTCAGTCTGCGTTACCCTGTGTTCCACAGTGTCCTGGTCCGCGTCTCTCTGCTTCTCATCCCCTTTGTCGTATGCTCCCAGGTCTGTTATTTTTAGTTCTCCCAGTTTAGGTGTCTTCAGTTATTTGTCATGCCCCACTGCTTGTTTGCCACTACACCTTTGTTAATAAACCTCACCAGCATTTCATCCACTGCCTGCATCTTGGGTCCTTCTTCCAACTCCACACGGCTCGCCTTGGCAGCTGTGACAAAAACATTGAAAACATTCAAAGTTTAAAACAGCTACAAAAACATAAATCTGTAATTTTCTCAGTGAGGAAACATTTTTTCTTTATGAATGTTTGCTTTGAATTTCCCAGGTTGTAACAATGGCAGCTGTTACAGATCTGCTTCTAGAAACACTGGAGGATTTGAGTGATCAGGATCTCAAGGAGTTCATGTTGTTCCTGCAGTTCACTTGTTTTCAGAAGAGTCTTCCACAAATCAAACTGAGAACTGACAGAAGAGGAATAGTGAATGATATGATTGATAAACTTGGTCATCAGTCTGTGGAGGTGATCAGGGAGGTTTTAACAGACATGCAGAGAACTGATCTGGTGCAGAGGCTGTCAGAGAGCAGCTCAGGACTCAAAGGTAAGAGAAAATAATCTGTCAGAGTGTCTGTAATAACTTTAATACATTTTATTTATTCATTAAAGTTTATTTAACCAGGAAAAAATAAACTTGTGACATTAAAAATCGGTTTTACAAGAGTGTCCTGGCCAAGAAGGACAGCTGTACAATAATCATAAGCTGCATAAATTAATAGACAAATCCATACATCAGATATGTTGGGATTATTCTTAACTGTGTGTGGAAGGATTTTAAATATAATATTACACCTTACAGTAAAAATTTATTTAAAGAATTAAATCAGAGAAACTCACAACAAGAACTGCATAATATAAACTTTATTATCATTTATAAATGAAAGAATTTGTTTCCTCTGATTTATTTTGGACAGACGTTGATAAATGAACACATTCAGGTTGTACAAACACAGTAAAATTAAACAGATTTGTTTTCATATTTCAATGTTTAAAGTAAAAATATTCAGCTTATTGAATCAGTGACTTTCTTTAGTAAATGTTGTTTTAAAGCTCTTTGAACTTCTTTCCTTTGAAAATATTTTTCTTTGTTTTTTGCATTTTGAGCTCATTAATATCAGTCTTGTGTTGTAAATGGATCTTTATGTTAGCTTTGATTGAAACTCCACTATGGAGACAGACGACCTGTATGAGGTAAATGATTCAAAGTCTTTTCAGTGATTTCTCTGTGATTGTGTAACTATGGCCTCCTCCTGCCTTCAGTCAGCACAGCTGAAAGTGAAATATTAAAGCTTTTTATTGTCAGGACTCAGTGTTATACTCAGGATGAGCACACATAAAGGACACACACAGTGTCTGTATCATGTAGTTACAGTTTGTATTCAATGTGTTGCAGCTGCAGGATCATCAGCTGAAGGATTTGATGTGGAGGAAACAGAGAAAGGTCAGTGTCCAGAAAACACATGAATCAATAAATACACTCATTGATATGAAGATGAAGAAGATGAAGAAGAAGAATTACTGAATGAAACAGAACTGGATCATTTCCTCACACGTTGATAGTTTCCCATCAAATATGACTTCATGTTAACAAGTTTAATGTTGTTATTAATCCAACTTACAAGGATCATCAGAATGAAATCAAAGCATCAGTTATTTCAAAGTGTCTGATTATTAACACTGATGTTAAATCAGTCATGAATGAAGCTTTTAATCTTTCTTTTCTGTCAGAGAAACACTCTGAGGATGAACGTTGGCCTGCACTGATCCACAAAGTGAGTCATGTCACATCTGTCTGACTTCAGATCATCCAGCTTTCATTTCATAAACACAGGATAGAAATCTTCAATAGAAACAAATGATTTGATTTTGATTGGAAAAGTCAAAGTTTGATAAGTTGAGCGTGTGCAGTGAGGGAGGTCTGCAGCAGGTCAGAAAAGTCCTGAACTTGTTAACAGAAGCAGAATAATTGTTAATCAGCTGTTTGTGATCATTGTGACAAATATGACCAATGACATCATCACCTTATGTGATGGATGATGTCATCTAAACACATCTACATTTGTAAAGTGTTGATGAGAAAACAAACAAACCTGAAAGTGAGAAATGTCACATTTATCTCATGAACATTTTCTTTGAATTTTCCAGGTAGAAACGATGGAGTCTGTTATTGAGCTGCTGCTGGAAACTCTGGATGGTCTCAATGATCGAGAGCTACATGAGTTCAAGTTGAACCTGCAAGAAATTCATCTTCACCAATATTACTCAGTCTTCTCATGGGTGTGGTACATGAGGACAAACCTGCAGCACACAGTGTTTCTGATGGTGCAGACTTACGGCCAACAGTCAGTGGAGAAGACCATGGAGGTCTTAAAGGAGATGAAGAGGACTGATCTGGCTCAGAGGCTGTCAGACTGCAGCTCACTGCCTCGAAGTAAGACAACAAAATCAAAACTCATTAAAGTCATAAAACTGTTTTTATGTCTCATAAACGTCTGACTAAAGTCTTCTTTGACTTTATAAATAATATTTGTAATAAAGACAAAAAAACACATCTTTAAAACATATTTTATGGCTGTTCTGGAAAAATCTACTTCAATAAATACATAAAAATGAGACCAGATTAAATAAAGATACTTTGTGAGGAGGAGTAAAAATGACTCCTTCATACTGTTTATTATTGCTGAGGAGGTTTCAGTGTAATTCTGCATATTGTCCATTTTTCCAAAGTCATATTTCCTGAATAATTGTCAGTTAGTTGTTAAATGTGTTTGTCATGAGTGACTTTGAGCACTTTTCTCCTCAGAGAAACACTCTGTGGATGAACGACGCTCTGCACTGATCCACAAAGTGAGTCATGTCACATCTCTGATTCAGTACAAGACAGCAGGCTGAAAGTCAGAGGACTAAAGTATCATCAGTTCTCATGTTGACTCATTTTTCTCATGATTTCTGCTGGATGTTTGTGACAAACTGAAGCTTCATTCAGTTTGACTTCTTCAGCAGTAATTTTCTGCAACACTAATGTCAGGATGTCTTTACCACTGAGGATGAGCTGAGGAAGTGTCAGCATGTACATTTGTCCTGACTCTTCAACAGGACAGAGAAATCTGAAAACATCAAACACTTTCAGATTAAACAGGAAACTTTATTCTACTTACAAATATTAATAAAGAATGAAAGATAATGTGAAATCAGGGAAAGATTCTTGATGGATATATTTCAGTTTTTATCTGCACAGTGAGAGAAGAACTGCAGCCTGTAAAGAAAAAGTATTCAAACCCATAAAAGTGGATCACAGTTTTAGATTTTCTTCATTTTTTTGATAAACGTACCACAACTAGTAAATAGATGCTTGTGTTTGGCTAAATAAATATGTGACCCCGTGATTGTGTTTATTGTTCCAGGCGGCAACAATGGCAGCTGTTAAACATCTGCTTTTAGAAACTTTGAATGATCTGAGTGATGAGGAGCTCAAGACATTTAAGAGGCTCCTGCAGACGATCCTTCCTTGGAGGAATCTGTCATTCTTCTCATATAGGTTGAGTCCATCATCAACCAGAGCAGATATAGTGAATCTGATGGTGGGTGAACTTGGTCATCAGTCTGTGGAGGTGACCAGAGAAGTTTTCATGCACATGAACAGAACTGATCTGGTGCAGAAGTTACCAGAGAGCAGCTCAGCATCCAGAGGTAAGACCAACATGCATGAGTGTAAACTCTGTGTCATCAACAGGTTTTTGTGTTGGTGGTGTCATGGTGGTGCAGTGGTTAGCACTGTGTCCTCACAGCATGAAGGTTGTGTGTTTGAGCCTCCTGGTTGGCTGGAACCTTTCTGTGTGGAGTTTGCATGTTCTCCCTGTGCCTGCATGCTTTTCCTCAGAGTGCTCTGGTTTCCAGTCCAAACACATGCTTGTTGGCTTTATTGCTGGTTCTAAATTAAATGTGGGTGTGAAAGGTTGTCTGTCTGTTTAAAACCTGAGGTGGACAGGTGTACCCTCTCTCATTATCACAGCTGGGAACCCCCAGTTACTTTGGTTGGACAGGATGGAGGGTTTCTTCGTTGGGTTCTTATGTCATTTTATTTAGTTTCACATGATTTTCTCTTTTAAATCATCTGTGTCGTCTGAAGGCTGATTCTACTTGGATGTGTGATGATGTTTGAATCCTCAGAGTTGATGGTAAATGTCTTTCCTCCTCAGAGAAACACTCTGTGGATGAACATGGAGCTGCACTGTTGAAGAGAGTGAGTGTGACTTTAACTCAGCTTTTGCAAAAAAATAGTTTTTAGTATTGATAGAAATGAAATAATGTTTTCTTATGAAACTTGAAGTTTTGCAGTTCATAAAGAGAGTGAAGTAAATATCAAAACCGCCAGCTGTCTCTTCAGTGATTATTCTAAAACATATAAATATTAATGAAGACATCTTTTTTAATGAATATTTGATATTTCTACTACAGTTTCTCTGGAAATTAAATAAAAAGAAATCTATTGTCCAACAGAGATATTATACAGTAACTTAATACATTGTTTTGGTTTTACAGGAAAAAGAACAGGAAGCTGTCAGACAGATTCTCTTGGTAACACTGAATGAATTCAGTCAAAAGGATCTAAAGAAATTCAAGCAGTTGCTGCCGTTCACGTGCTTTAAGATGAGCCTGCCACAAATCGAGAGGTACTGGTATCAAAACAGAACAGAAGACCTTGTGAATCTGATGGTGGATAAACTTGGTCATCAGTCTGTGGAGGCGACCATGGAGGTTTCAACAGACATGAACAGACCTGATCTGATGCTGAGGCTGTCAGAGAGCAGCTCAGGTGAGACCAAACAAAGTTTAATAAACAGATTTTCATAATTTACAATAAACTTGTTTAAACAACTTCTAATCAACAAACATTAAAATAAACAGAAAACACAACAGACGTACAAAAATAACTTTGCATAAATCATCAGAGCTGAATCCAACCTTTCTCTCTGTCTCTGTCTTGTTCTGACATCACTGGTGAGAATATTTGGATTCATCAGCTTTTGATCATCTTAGACGTCACTCAGCTGCACGTCCTGCTGAACATGTTGTTCTGATGTTGAAGCAGCACTGCACAGCATAAAGTGATCAAACAGCAAACATGTGGACAGTTAGAGGATGATTTTATATGTCAGCATAACATCATTCATTTGAATTCTTTGTGTCTCAACAAGGACGAAAAACTGAAAGAAGTTCAGAGCTTGAAGGTTGTCAGAGCCTGACGGTAATCCCTTCCATTCATCCATTTATTGCTAAAGTTTCTTTCTTTATAAACATGTGTACTTATTGACTAAAGAGACTGTCCTCTGCAGCAGGACTGCAGTGATTGGACTAAACTTGAACCTGAGGTGAACAGTACAGATGCAGACGAGGCTCCAACTTACAGGTAAATCAACTTCCTGAATGCTGCAGCACAGCAAACTGGAACTACAGGAAACAGTTCAGCTTTGGATTTATTCACAGATAGGGATGGGTATTGATAAGATTTTCACGATTCCGATTCCATTTTCGATTCTGTTTAACGATTCGATTCTTTATCGATTATTTTTTAAAAAGGAGAACACTAAGGTCGAGTAGCTCAGAACTTTGTTTTATATCTTCTCTTTGAACAAGACAGAAATTTAGGAGTAACATGGCCTTACAAACCCAACAGTGAGATCTTAAGAGATCCAGCCTACGGCTCTTCAATGGGATGTCACAGGGACCCCAGGAAAAAAACTGTAAATGTAAAATAATAAAATAAATATTCTTCTGTAGCAATAACAAAGTGTAACATAAATTATTCTGTAGCAATAACACAAGAATATCCAGTAATGTCCCTGCCTACAATTAAACAATCACTTACCGAAAATCTGCTGTGGCCAATGGGTGCAAGGCTTTTACCACAAACTGAGTCACTGCTCGGTGACATTCGTCTATCCCGGCCTGAAAGGAGACGCTGCCGGTAGACTGCAGCGAGAACTGCCAGCGTCTGAGCCAGACTCTTTCTCATCATGGTCACTAAATGCACAGTAATGGCAGGTTTTGTAATAAGGCAGATCGCACTAACATAATATGCACTGTTAGTTGATTATTTACCTGCCGCATTAACGGGAGAGGACGTGCAAACGTTACCGCTGCTGCTGGGTTGAGATTCACGAGTCCGGAATTAAAAACACGACATTCATTTAAGGTCATCGTGTGTTTTGTGAGCAAATGCTTTTGCATATTCGTAGTGTTTCCTCCCTTAAATGAAATATCTACTTTGCAAGTATTGCAAGTTGCCCTGTTGTCATCCGTTCTCGTAAAGTATAACCAAACTTTTGAGCGTTTGAGCCGCTTAGGCGCCGTGTTTCCTGCCAGGTAAATGACGCTCCGCAACGTGGTGACCTCATTCGGGGCGACTGGAATCGATAAGGGAATCGTTTGCAAAAATGGCAAACAATTCCAAGGAATTGAAACAGTGGGAACCGGTTCTCAACAAGAACCGGTTTTCGATACCCATCCCTATTCACAGAGGAAATTCTTCATTTTGCATCCAATTCACACGACTACTCTCTGTGTTTCCATTCACTCTGTTGTTCCTTCATGAGTGTGTATTTAATTCCTGTTTCAGCCTTCAGTCTGCAGCAGGACACTTTGAATGCAGAGTGTCGGGCTTGCGCTGGGTCTGTAAGGGAAAGACCAGCTTTCAGTACCAGTTTAGATCTTGGGAGGGACACATGGAGAGGATGGAGAGCAGACAATACATGCCTGCAGGTCCTCTGATGGACGTCACAGTCACTGCTGGGAAGTTAAATGAAGTTCACCTGCCACACTGGATCTGCATCGGTAAGAGGACATGAAGGAAGACTTTCAGATGTTTGACATTTCTGACAGTGAGCGCACAAACTGTTATAAACTGTTCTTCTCACCATGTTTGTGTTGTTGTGTTCTCCTGCAGATGACATCCCTGACATATTGGACACGTTTGCAGTCCTTCACATAGATGACTGTGGAGATGTTGTGGAAAAAGTGTCTGAGGTCACACCAACACATGTCAAGTTAACTGAACCACATTTCTCTCTAATAGGGGCTCTGATACGTTTATTCTTTCCTTTGAAAATCAGCTGTTACACGTTGATGTACTATAAACCCAACACATCATTTCTTAAACTCCACGTCTATCCAATCCGACAGGATCCTGCTCTGGAACAGGTAACTGAAGAGATTCAATGTATTAGGATCAGTGCAGGCAAAGAAAGTCACAGTACGATTGCTTTTATATTTTATACTAGACACAAGGTGAAAAATATTATCTGGGCACACTGACCATTATTTTTAAATATGACATCATACTGACTGCAAACTCAATGATAAAAGTGTAATAAGCTAAAATGATCATTATCCTAACAGTTCATCATGAATTTATTTTGCGATTTTAAATCCAAACTGAATTTTAAAATCTTCAGCTGCTGATGACTGATATCATCTGATAACAGGGAATAGACAAGGAAGAATCCTCAGATGGATACAAAAGAATCAAGAAACCACACCCAGACAAGTACCTGCAACCTGAGCGTACTTTCAGCCTCAGAGCCGACATGGAAACAGCAGAAATTCAACCACAGGTACAGTTTGTAAAAAGCTCTGCTGAGGAGATCTAGCCCCTCACTGTATGTGTGGATAAACCTCTACTCAAACATTTCAGTCATGTCTGAAGCTTGTTTTTAAGAACACTTTCTGCTTTCTGCTGTTCTTACATTATCACCACAATCTTCAAACACTTTTAGAACCAAAGCATGTATTTTTAACCCACTAAACCATGAAAATTGTTTAGTGGGTTAAAAGCTGCACAAAATGTGTATTTTACATACATCTATCTATCCATGCTTTTTCTTCTACTTATCTGGGCCGGGTCAGAAGGGCAGCAGTGTGATGAACAGTGATGAGCTTTCTGGAATATGAAATAACTGGATAGCTTCAGCAACACATCACGTACAGAGTCAGTGATGAATACAAATGTAAAAAGGACGAGCAGACAGATTGTAATTCACTCTGCACAGAAACAATATGGACGTGTTTGTTGAGCTGTTTGAAATATTGCAAACCTTTGAACATCACGTTTGAAATTACTCCGTGTGTGTGTGTGTGTGTGTGTGTGTGTGTGTGTGTGTGTGTGTGTGTGTGTGTGTGTGTCCGTCCCCACAGGAGTTAACCTTCAGATATAACAGGATAAACTTCTATGAAGTGTTCATTGAGAATCCAGACAGAAAACTCAGGCTTACACTCCTGCACTCAAATAATGATGAACCAGTCTGGACATGTGATGTTCATCAAGGTTAGTTATTCTGTTAAATAATACAATGTACACAAAGTGTAATGGAAAACTTTCATCCTTTTATTTGACGACTGCAAATTGAAGAGCAACAGCAATGTGAACGTGTTGTTTCTCTGCTATTTCATAATCTTTGGTCCCTGAATGCAGCACATCAAACAACAATATCAAACATTCATATTTTGATTTTCCTTTAATTCCAGATGACTATCCCATGTCTGGTTATGTTGAAGGTAAGAAAATACACTTAAAGAGTATTCAAACTAATTCTTTGCTTTCACTCACAACATAAAATGTGTTGCTGTACCTTTAACTCGTAGAGTTAAGTCGAATGCTGTTTAACATAGTTTGTACTGTGTTGGTCCTGCTAAAACATTCCTGGCATCAGTGACTGTTCAGTTTAGAAGCTCGTCTGTAATGACAAACAGACTTTTCAGACACTGAGTGAATTAAACAGATCAGCAGTGAGTCATTTAAAACTAAGAAGAGTGAGTTAAGGGCAAATGTGTCTATATTAGACAATTTGATCTGTTTCTTTGTTTGTAATGAAAATTAATTAAATTGGTGCATTTAACACACAATTAAAAAAATGTCTTTACAGCTTCAGGAGCTTCAAGGGGAGCATCTGGTGTCAGTACTTCAGGTAATGGTAACATATATCAACTCTGCTGTCTTCTTATTAAAGGATTTTGTTGCAGTTGTTGACAAGAGGACCCAAGTGTAGACACTGCACAGTAAGCAGGTGCACTCAGAGAGCACAACTCCCCCTAAGAGCAAGGGCTGTACTAAAAGTTTGATGTTTATGATGTTTTTGTCACAACATGATGACATCAGCCTGTTTTTATTAAACATATCTACCTCAGCTGTTACTACAACATGCTGATGTCAGCATTGTTGATATGGAAATCTAGTCTAGTTTATTAACCTTTTTGTGTTAAAGAGCTCAAACGAAGAAAGTGTTGATGTTCCACAATGACTAATATGTTGCTTTAAATTTTTGAGATGATTAAATAGAAACTAAAGCTTTTTCCTATATCGTGGGACCCTGACCTGTGACCTTTGACCTTGAGATATTACATACTAAGATGGTGTATTTAATTATCTTCACCCATGTGATTGGAGCAGAATTGGCTGAAAACTTTGGCTTCTATAAGCTGTCAAAACTTTATGGCATCATTGTGAACTGAAAAAATACAAAGTGTGCTGTACATCCCTTACCATGCCCTCTCATATGACCTATTACTGGATATGTTGTTTTTTTATGTGATTATGGTTTTGACCTTGACCTTCATTGTTGGCACCCAAGATCAAAGTTGACAATAAAGGTCCAGGTTAAAAGCTTAGTTAGCATATTGTTGTGAATTTTGACAATCCATAAAAAAACACGAGGGAAAACAAGGCAGGAGAACAAACACATAAACTGACACAGAGAGGGCAACGACACAAGGAGTAACTACTAAATAATCAAGGAACTAAACAGGGTAGAAACTAAAAACAGGATAACTAGGCACCATAGGACAGCGGTCCCCAACCCCCAGGCCTCGGACCGGTACCGGTCCGTGAGTCGTTTGGTACCGGGCCGTGAGATTTGAGGCTCAGGTGTGAAATGTCTGGTTTTCAGGGTTTTTGTCGGTTTTCAGCGTTATTTTGTTATCATTTTTATCAATAACTCTGTTTTCCTGGGTCTTTTCACGTGTGTTATGAATAAATCTTTTTTTTACTAGTTTTATTTTGTTGTATTTATCCGCGACACCTTAAAGGCCGGTCCGTGAAAAATATTGTCGGGCATAAACCGGTCCGTGGCGCAAAAAAGGTTGGGGACCGCTGCCATAGAACACTAAGTGAACTTGAACACAAACCATAATACAAAATGACAAAAACACAGGAAAACTCAAAATGCTGGGTCAAATGACCCAGGATCGTGACAGCTGATGCTGTTAGGTATCAGCTTGTGATCCAAAGGTAAGAAACAAAATGGCACCATTTATTACAGAAAGGTTTTAGAAAAGAGCTCCATAGAACAGAAGTATGGTTTACTTGGAGAGGAAAGGATGCTGGTTTGATTCCAGTCAGAGGCACAAATCCCCCTTTGTGTTATGTCAGGAAGGGTATCGGCTGTAAAACTGCCAAATCAAACATCTGCAGTGACCCCGTATGGCAGGGCGCAGTTGAACGTAGCTTATTCCAGATTTCAAAACACATTTTTCAACATTATTCTGAAATTGCATTGAAATGGTCTGAAACCAAATCTCAGACATGACGGCTACACCTGTTTAATCAGATGACACAGCTCATTATTAAACTCTGATACATCAAACAATGACATCAAGCGTCCATATTCCAATTTTCCTTACATTAAACGTGTCATCCAGTTTCTGGCCACGTTGCAGGTTAGAGAATTACATATATTACATATATATATAATAAGTATTTATGTTGTGTTAGAGCTGAGATGACCCCTTATACAGGAGATACTGGACTGGTTTAAAGGTTTGGGGTCTGTTTTACTGTAGAGTATTACCCTAGTAGTAATCACCAGAAATTAAGCTGCTGGTGGGGAGACTCGCCTCCCTGTAACTGCCTTTGTTTGTATCTCTTTCTTGGCTCTTGACGAAGGCAGTCGCACTTTCTCTTTTTATCATTCACCATCCTCTGGTGAATAATAATCGAACAGGACCGCCTACCATGTGTTTCTCTTCAGGTTTAAATCGTTTGGATGTTTGGAGGCTGGCAGTGACGAAATAATAACTCGACTAAAATGCGTTAAAGCAAAAGTAACGAGCCGGTTTAGAAAATGTGAGAAGTAGAAAGTACAGATATTTGTTTATAAAGGCAGGGAGTAAAAGTAAAAAGTAGTGAGAAAAAGTAAGACTCGGGTAAAATACATTTGTATTTGTACTTCGTTACTTCTCACCTTTGTGCCCAAGGCCTTGAAACTGCCAAGCAGATGCACTCTCATGCAGCTCCTCATTTCCTGATAATAAAAGAGAAGACTGCAACATTAACTAGATACAATAATCTTTAAATGTCTGGATGAAAAAAGGAAAGATGTCATTTATGTTCTTTTTAAATAGTCGACCAAAAGGAACGAATGTGTTTTTAACATTTAATGAATTTTAATTATGAAATAAGTGTGAATTTTTTAAAGCATTTTGTTATGAAAGCTGAGAATAAAGTGAATAAAAACTTCAGATGATAAACAACCCTTAAAAAAAAAAAAAAAAAAAAAATTATTTCTTTCCTTCTCTTTCTCCAGGCAAGGACTTTGTGGACAAACACAGAGTCCAGCTGACCAACAGAGTGAGCAACATCGCACCCATTTTGGATGAGCTCCTAGACAATGAAGTTATCGACCAAGAAACTTATACCAGAATTAGAGCTCTGTCTACCACTCAGGAGAAGATGAGGGAGCTCTACATTGGTCCCCTGCAAGCTGCAGCCTGCAAAAAGATCTTCTATGACATCCTTTTGAAAAATGAGAAATTTCTCGTTAAAGAGCTCAGTGAAAAGGATTAAATGTGTTGAAAAAACAGTTTTTAGACCAAATATAGATCTACCAATATCTACCAGAACATAACATGATTACATTACAAAGGTTTAGATGCCTTTTCTTTGTGGGGGTTTTATTTTACACTTACATTTTTGTAAAAACTGTTCTATGTGTTGCATTTGCTCCTCAGTGGCTCCTTTAATTGATCCATTTTACAGGAAAAACTATGGATATTTGAAAGTTTTATATTAAAAAATGTAAATGTTATATATGTTAAAAATGAATCAGCGATGTCATCAGCCATGTTTTTATCCAAACACGTTCTCATCCCAAAACGTAACATATATGTGACAAATCGTCGCTATGTTGCTCGTTCCCAGGCGTGAGAGCGGGTTGAAATTGATAAATGTAAGGTGATGGTTAATGCTAGGGTTAGGGCCGCGAAGAGAATAAAAAGGGGAGTGCTTCAATTAAGAATCCTGAGCGTTCATAAGGACACAGAGGGGTACCTTTCGCATTACTATGAATCCTCGGGGCCGTGAAGCTGAATGAGTTTTATCCATAAATCATCCAAAGCCTCATTAATCTCTTTTTCAATGTCATCATCTTATTGTAACTTGAAACATAGTGACAACGATTTACTGTCCTTAAAAAAAATAAACCAAAATTAAACTCATGTTTTTCTTGTTCATTTTGATGATTAATTAAAACGTTTTATAATTTAATCTTTGAAATAAAATCTTCATTTTTATCAAATGATTTATTCAAATAATAATGCAGTGTACATTATGGAGGGACGGGGGAGGCAGAAAATCAGAATATTCATTCAAAAAAATATGATGGTAAAACACTGGGAACAATTTCTGCACAAGATTTTAAATGATGTTTTGCATTTGTTGTCCACATATGCGGACATCCCATTTTGGGTTGTCTCGACCACACTAAATTTTGCTCTACAAGGGCCTGATATCCACTTACGGGGACGTTATACTGCCACTGTTCTATCGAAATCTAAAACGAATGTGCTCATATGTGAATATCAGGCCATTGTAGAGCAAAATTAGGTAAAAAGATAATTCTTTGTTTTCACATTCATCACGTCCCAATCAAGCGCTCGGGTCTTAGGAAGTTACAGGACTTTTTTCAAAGTGGCTAAACAAACACTTTCAACTCCTTAATCAACTTAATCTGTGAAGATTTGAGCATCAAACTTCACCCAAAGAACCTAAAAAACGAAACACTGAATGAATCACTCTGGCACAACATATGGTCTGAAATCATCTGCTTCTGGACTGCAGAGAAAACGTGAAAAAGGCGCGCGTAATGTTAAAAAAGAGGAAGTAGAAGGGAAGAGGTCACAGACTTTACCGCGGAGGAGGCAATGGCGTGTCCAGCGGGGTGGCCTGGGGGGGCACAGGCCACCCCCCAAACCAGACTGGCCACCCCAGGTGCCACCCCAAAGGCAAAACAATAAAATTCAATCAAATATCAAATGTCCGATTATGTTTTCACGGTGACGCTCAGATATCCGAGTGTAAGTGAATGCAGCATCGCTTCTGCGCTATGCGCATCACGTTAGCAAAGGTAGGAGAGCCAAGCGCGAAAGATGGCACTGCAGGAAACAATTTTTCGGTGAAAGAAAATGAGGACAGACTAAATGTCCCGGTAAGTAATATCAAGTTTGTTGAGTTTAGTAAACTTCGGTGAAATTAGAATACCAAGGAAAAAAATAACACTTAAAGAATTATTGAAGCTGTGGAATATTTCAGACAGTATGCTACTGAGGGCAGCTAACATAAGAGTTATGAGTTATAAGATATAATCTAAGTCGTAACATTGCTGTATGGAGCTGCAGATTTGGTTGCAGGTTAACATAGCTGGACTGGCCATCGGGCATATCCCCAGTGACTTATTTATTTTTTTTTGTAATGGCATGAACAATGAGAGGTGGTGGATTGGCCAGATGCAGGTCGATGTGTAGAAATAACTCAGTTGTTTGGTGGTGGCTATGACGGGGCTTCCACAGAGGCAACAGGTGGATGAGGGAAGGGGAGGCAGGAGGAGAGACCCGAAGCAGCCACCAGTCCGAGTGTCAGGTGAACTGAACTTCAGGTAAGAAGTTATGACCTGCAGTCTATCTGGGTCAGATATAAACCAAGTTTAGGTGGAGTTTATTTTCATGTTGCTGACTTTTTACTGTCAGTTGCAATAACTCATACTGCGTTCTAGCCAGTTTGACGGAGTTTTTATACAGCTGGGTGGTGCTATGATGTTACTGATAGTGAACTTTATTTTATTCATAAGGTTAGTTAGTAGAGTTGCCAACGGCTCCTTAAAAAAATGGAATGGTCCCTCATTCAGAGAAAATATTACACGTTTCGTATTGAGCTGAGAAGAGACGCAGTTTGTCCCGGACTTTAGCTAGAATGGAAAAAAAGACACAAAGCTGGATTTATTCTGTCTTTATGCTGCACAGCTGCCTCTTCTCTCATTCTCTCCCCCTCCCTCTCCTGTTGCTACTTCAATCATGAAACTGATCAATGATCAGCTGATCGGCTTTTCTCTCTTGTTTATCGCCCACTTTGCGCCAGAAAGAGGAAACCAGCGGATGTCGCGCTAAACAACAGCACCACGTTTAAGCTTGATCAGCTGTTGTTAGAATGTATTTAATATTAATTTCTAGTATCAGCTGATGTTTGCTGGAGCCACAGCTGTAAAGCTGCTGGTCATGATGTCTGTTTAGATATGTGGTGAGAGGGAAACATGAAGATGAAACCAGGAGATGTCCTTACTGAACCATCAGAGCTGAACAGGTGATGGAGAAACAGGTTTACCTTTTAGGTGACATGAATGAGTTGAAGTTATGAACTGTTTCTGAGAGATAAATAACACCAGGATCCTTTTTTATGTAGCTGACAGCTGGTAACTGTGCAGGGGCGGGTCTAGCAAAGTTTTGCCAGGGGGCCAGGTAGGGCATTAACAGGGAAAGGTGGGCACAAAGAAATACTTTTCTTTCTTATTCTCATTTAAAATACCTAGTTTTTATTAAATAATTATCTAAATCTTACAACCAAAGTTTTTATCTGACGTAAAATGTATAGAAATCATACATATACCAACAAGACTGTACATCACTGTCACAACAGGGTTTGTTTTCAGTCAAAGTCTTTATGGCTTTACTACCTGGTGGGTCGGTCTGTAGTAAAAATGCCCAATTTTTTTGTCCCAGTCCAGCCCTGCAGGTTATACTGGCAGTGTCACCATGCCAGCTGACTGTATTTCATCATCAGCCAGTGTTGTTCTTTATCAATATTACCAAAGTTTACGATAAGGCAGCATAGAAAGTATTTACTTGCTTTCAGGTTTCATTCAAATGTTAGTCTTTTCAGTTGTTTCCCCACTTTTTTCCTGTTTCAAAATCAAACACCAGTTTGTGAGAAGATTATCTTCTTTTTTTAACAGGCAGATAAAGTTTTGCATTGGCTAATTTGTCAATTGTTTGTTACAAATGTTCGTATTTTAATTTTCAAAAATGTTTTTGCCCAAAACATATGTGCACTATATGTCAGTAAAAATACTATGCAAATATTGTTGTCCTTGACTGCTGAGTAAACACTGACAAAGCACTGATTGTATCTCTTGTACTTTATCAACGCAGTATCTAAAAACTTTGCACCGTAGTGGTTAAAATCTCATTCTAATAAGAGTTAAAAGTGCATTTGATTATTAGGTTTATAGGATTATTGAATTATGGTTAAGGGTTGGTAGAATTTTTTTTTAAAACATTATCTGCCAATTAAATCTGCCACCCTTCTCCAAATCTGTGCCCCTACCTGGCCCCCCCAACAAAAATTTTCTAGACACGCCACTGGGAGGAGGCGCTTCGGTGGTTCTGGAGATCCTGAAACGAATCGACAGCAGCGCAGAGGTAAGAATCTGCGATTAGTTTCATATTTTAAACCCGACACAAACCGCTGCGCTAGCTCGGTGTCAGGGTTTGAAGACTGAGTGTTAGATTATTGTATCGTACGGAGCGAAACCTAATAATGAGCAACTACTGGAAGGACCGCTGACGTATCCGCACATCTGTACAGCAAATAAAGTTTAAAACGGAAGCAAAAATGTTTTAAAAAAGTCTGTCTGAAGGGGGAACATTTTCTCAGCTATTCTCACAGTTGTAATCAGCACATTGGTTACTAGGGCAGCGTGCTGTTTTTATTAGCAATGTTTTATTAGCAATAGATCGAATAAAATAAAGAAAAGATAAGATAACCTAATCCTGAAATGAGCTTATCTATGTATGTCCAGTGGAGCCAAATATTAATAACCTAAAGAAGAGCCATGATTTAGTTGGTTTTAATGTTTTCTGGTGCATCAGCCCATTGTTTATTGTTTTCAACCAACTGGAAACAAATAAGGTGCACAGTTTTAAATCTGAGCAGCCCTTCATCCTGTGGACAGAAGGAAGTTGTTTATATTCTATCAGTGTAAAACATCATCATCAGTATTAATCAATAGTTTTTCCCCTCTGCTTGTTCCAGCTGCAGCATCTGGTGGATGTACAATGGCAGACGGTAGGTGCAGCATGAAGTCCTCTCCCTGTAACTGATCCTGACTCAAACTATAACTTAGCCTGAGGTCAAGAGTAATGAAAAAAAAAAAAAAAAAAGATGTGTGCACTGTGAGGCACAGAAATGAAAACAAGTTATAGCGAGTTCCACAGTCGCTAGAGGCCGGGGATGAAGCCTGCCTATTTGCCTGACGCGCTGTCAACTTTACGCAATAATGCGAGAGGTGGAATTGTTTGCTTGTTTATTAAAGTGCTTTGAGAGTTTACAGAGTAATGTCATCGGCTCCTGATTCAGACTCTTACAACGTCACAGGCTCTAATATAACGAAGCGAAACATGTTGTGCAGCGGTCAACAAAAACTACGGCTACCCAGCCCTCCTCTCTGTCAAAATCAAAACCAGTGAATGACAGACTGACAACGCCCATCTATGTCACCGCTAGCACCCACGTGACTCCCATAACAACCAAACAAATAAAAACCCAGTGATCATCAAAATTCAATACATTCAATTATGGCTGCTACACAAGTCTTTGAGACTTTGGTGACGTGTGCTTTGTGGTGTTCCTGCAGTCTAAAAAGAAGTATCATTTTAGCCAGCTCCTGATTTTAAAGATTATGCTCTCAGCTGTTTGGTCTCCAAAATCAATGAAATGCAGCCAGATGCTGCTCCTTTTCCATTTTTGCTTGTTTCTTCACTTTTCTGTGGTGCTCTGAGTACCTGGTCCGTACCACTACACTCGCTGTTCGCCCCGTTCCTTTATTCACATAACTGTCTGATCCTTATCTGTCCCTGCATGCCATTGGTCACACGGTGTGCCCATCAAAGCTGCTGGTTGCATGGATTCTCAGCAGGGCTGAGTGGTTGAGGCTGAAGAGTCGGCTTTTGTCATTTGCTACAAAGAATGAGCTCTTTGTGTCGGCTCGTTTGTGAATGACACATCACTAAACCCTAAGTTCGGCTGTGGTGCTGCAGCATGAGGACAGAAATCACTTAAAAATAAATCATAATAATTTCTCTTGTGAGCACAGGTGGCTTCTGTGTAAAGGTTATGATCAGCTGACCGACGCTGCTACTATTTGTGGATTTAGCCAACTGAACTCAGCAGGCTTATAAGCAGATGTTCCATGAGCTGTGATGGCTGATTTCCAATTCAATTCAATCAGTTCAATTCAATTTTATTTATATGGCACTGAATCAACGATTGCCTCAGTGTTCTTTAGTATGAAGAATGAAGCTGCTGTTAAGGTGGAATTCAGTATCATTACCTTAAATTTAATTTGGTGTTTGCTGCCCTTGATGTAACCTTGACCATGAGCACCACAGTCTGTTCTGCACAATCCAAAAACAACAACTAAAGCAACCATTCCCAAAGTCAGGAGTGCTGCTGCTAAAAACCCAGGACAGGTCTGGGCTGAGACAAAAATCGGTGGGGGCTCATCATGATGGGTCTGTCTGTCTAAAAAACCTGGACCCCCCATGGCTGACAACCAAGATCACGTGAAGTACCCTCTGAAAGTCGGCTAAAAGATGTGAATGAAGCATCCAGCAGGGAGCGAAACCAGCTCATTAGATTCTCTGTAATAAAAGAGGAAACTGCAACATTAACTTGACTCTTGGAAATTCAGGAAACACAATAATGTTTCAATGTCTGGATGAAAAAAGTGAAAGACATCATTTAAGTTCTATTTTTAACATTTAATTAATTTTAATTATGAAATAAGTGTGATTTTTTTAAAGCATTTTGTTATGAAAGCAGAGAATAAAGTGAATAAAATTTTCACATGATAAACAACCGTAAACTTTTATTGTATTTCTTTCCTTTTTTCTCCAGGAAAGCATTTTGTGGATAAACACAGAGTCCAGCTGATCCAGAGAGTGAGCAACATCGCACCCATTTTGGATGAGCTCCAATACAAGGAAGTTATCGACCAAGAACAATATGACAAAATTAGAGCTCTGCCTACCTCTCAGGACAGGATGAGGGAGCTCTACAGTGGTCCCCTGAAAGCCAGTGCAGCCTGCAAAGACATCTTCTATGAAAGCCTTTTGGCCTTTTGTTTCTGATGTAAACATAATATCAGACTCTTTGTTTTATGCTTTAATATCATAGTGGGCGGATTTAAAACACTGGTTATAATTTGGACCTGGTGACATCATACAGGCTACGAACGTTTACTCTGTTGTTAATAATTATTCCAGAATAAATGCACTTAAAAAAATAAACTTTAACTTTGTATTTATTTTATATTTTGCTCTCCATAAAAATATCCTGTCAAAATTATGCAAATTAGAAATATGAACATGCTGCCAAAAAACCCAGAAAAAATAAATGAAAGCAAACACAAGGTTGGAGCCGCATGTAGACGAGCAAAGTGCGCCAGCTTTGTTCAACATTACTCGGCAACAGGGAAAGTGAGGCAGGTTGCACTGGTGCATTTGTGACAGCTTCACTTGAAATGCCTCCACCGCATCATACATGCCATGAACTGACAGGTTTCCTTGCTGAGCTCAAAAACTCTGAGAACTTTTATCCCAACTCAGCCAGCGGACCTCTGTATGATGAGGAATGTTGGCAAACTCTGAATCTATTTCCCACATAAAAGACTGAAATTGACGCTGATTTAAACCTTTAGCTCAGATCAAATTTACGGTCTGTGTTACGGTGATCATTACATGCTCCATTTTTAGGACTTTACCACACAGCCTTTCCTGGTGTGTGATGCAGTGATGTGCTGTTAACTCACCGGTACAGTTCTCCTGCATCTTTACTAGATCCTACATCCTGCACAACACCAGCGCTCCATCTGTTGTCCCAGGGCAGTTTCATGTCGGTTACACTTTGAAATACCTTTTCAAACATGTCTTTTCCTGTCGTTGTCCCGTGCATTGATTTAATGTTCAATATTTACACTCTACGGATGAAGATGGTCAGCTGTGCAATGTCCATCATGTCTGTACTTTCATCCACAGCAAGAGAGTATGCAATGAAGTTTTGCTTCTTTCACACAACTGTGTTCTTAATCAGTGGCCATCTCACCAACCCGATCAGCAATCGTATTTCTGCTCAGGCTCACATTTGCCAAGATCTGCGTTTTGTCTGGACACAAGACGTTGCACAGCTTCATCATGCAGCTCTTCAGAAACTCTCCCTCGGTAAATGGCGGGCTGATTTGGCTCCTCTGCTACAATAGAACTTGCTTTCACAACAGCTTCAGTTTGTGGCTTTGCTCTGGTGACAAACGTCTGCTGAATTGGTAAATGGCCTGTGTTTGTATAGCGCTTTACTAGTCCCTGAGGACCCCATATCGCCGGGGCATGCATAACAATAATAATAAATCTATATAAAATGATCTTGCGGGCCATAAAATGTTATTCCACAACTTAGACATCCACATTACTCACAATACATATAGGGCTGTGGGGGTGGACACACTATACAGCGTCCAGCCTCACCTCTGGCGCCACCTCTGAATTTTAAATGCATGTAAACATTGAGGTTCTCAAGAGGGGCCGTGCTGACACTCGCTGCTCTCTGGCAGGAAGCCATGCCCTGCCATGTTTTAAAAGCACTTTAGAACAGGACACAGCAACACTACACATGAGCGGGTGGAGGGAGGTTCGGGGTCTTCGTACACCTCTGGTGGGCCTGGGGCTCTGGTAACAGGTTTGAACGTAGGAGCGTTAGGATTTAAAACGCCCAAACGCCCCTGCTCTCGTTCTAAATACGAATTCATTCCATCAGATTTACCATTAACCGCACTTGAGACTCGGGACATTTCAGAAACTTTTAAAACATTCACCTCTGCTGCTGAAGCTGCTATTTCAGTTTCTAAGTCAAGCAGCTCCTTTCTTTCTTAAGCTGTGTTTCTTGTTCTTCCAAAGCATGCTTTTCTTTCAACAACCTCTGTCGAACAAGAAGGGCAGCCATGTCAGCTTCTGCCATTATGCGTGCTGACAAGGCAGATGAAACCATTGAGCCACTGAGTGATGATTTACTTTTCCTACAACTTCTGCTTGCAACATTAGAGACGCTATCACTTGGATTAACATCATCTATCGCAGCACCTTTACCAACATTCCCGGTGTGCCTAGAAGCACCAGAACCATTTCCAGCAGGTAATACATCAGAAGACTCAACACCAGGTGGATTTAAATGTGGCAAATCAAGCTCAGACACCTGATTTTTAATCTGAGGGTTTCCCTTTGCATCACGAAGCCATTTCTTTATCTCTTCCACAAACTCAGTATTATGTGCTTTCACACTTATAAACCAAGCAGTTTGTTTCTCTTGCTCTTCTTGAGGAAGCAAAGGAAGCAAGGTTTCATGCAGACGAGTTGCCTCATTAAGCAACACAGACAAATTCTCTAACTGAGCCTGAACAGTGGAAACATTATCCTCAGATTGCTTTAACTCTTTAATAATTTTTACGACCTTTTTAATTTTATTAATCTTAGTATGACGTTCTGTTTGCAGCCTTTCAATCTGATTCTCCAAAGCCTTAGCAGTCGATTTCGGCTGTCTTTCTTTCCATCCACATCACCACATTGTATTAATTGGTGTGTCTCCATTTTTCTTCAAAACATTACAAAATCCAAACGCTGAACTGCACCTATGCCACACAGCCTCATCCCAACACATCAACTTGATGACGACATTCCCTTCAATCAACCTTGGACACACACAATTAACAGGAGCAATATCCCCTCTATCTGCCTATTAAACCTAACTAACTCAACCTAGTCTTCTGTACATACTAGCGGTGGTATTTATGTACTCCATACCGTCAGCTGTGAGGAAGACAAACTGTCTTAAACACAAACTGCGGCGGTACTCCCAAGCCAATGGCTTCAGCCGCCTGATGCACAATAACTAGAAAGCAAATCAGTACAACGCCTTGTGCAGCTGTACTGCTGAAACCTAACAGGGGAATAAGACTCCTGAAAGAAATCTGTATTGTGTAGCCAAAGGCTTAATCTAAAAGCTGCGTGGACAAAGGCAACAGCAAACCATAAGACTCTCACCAATAAAACTCATCTATATATAAACAATCCAATAAAACCTATAAACTTTTCTGTTGACAATTTGTTGTGGCTCTTCCAACTATGGCCGCGGCAGGCTAAACATGAGGATACAGATGATGCGCAACAATAAAGCATAAATACACTTCTGTACCATTTGCTTCTTTTATTCCACATGCAGCTGTCCAATATACAAATCAGCACGTGGGATTAACTATTACACAAATGCACAGACTGCACAAACAAATAACTGCTACTCACAAAGAACTGCACTAACTACTATACCAAACTACAACTTGGCCTATGCCATCAATTAGTGCATAAATATACATAAACCATCAAGTTCCAGTTAAAATACATCAAAATCATTCAAGCTGCGGTCAACAGAAAGTTTGCCTCATGCTCACCTTACCTTTCTGCTCATCAACATCAGGTGCTGTAAACAGGTGAGTGCAACCACATTTATCATCTACCACACCCATGAAACACGCCCCACACGCCTGTGCACCATACAGTGAGTCCATTTAAACCAACCCACTTAGTCAAAAAGGAACAACTCATATGGCTCCTACAGACATCATTTATGTTCTATTTTTAACATTTAATTAATTTTAATTATGAAATAAGTGTGATTTTTTTAAAGCATTTTGTTATGAAAGCTGAGAATAAAGCTAATAAAATTTTCACATGATAAACAACCGTAAACTTTTATTGTCATTTCCAGTGTTGGTCAAGTTACTTGAAAAAAGTAATCAGTAATTAATTACTGATTACTCCCCCCAAAAAGTAATCCCGTTACTTTACTGATTACTTATTTTCAAAAGTAATTAATTACTTAGTTACTTAGTTACTTTTTAAAAACACGATTTACAACCTGAAGAGGTGATAAAGTGATAGATCTTTCAGCCCAATTCTACTTTTTCTACATAATCCATCATACAAAATGTAATCAAATGGAAAAGTCTCTTTTTTTAACTTGTTTTATTAGTTTTAATCTTTTAACTTTATGCATCAAGCAAAACATTTAATTATATGCAACATTCTCTGACTTGAATAAATTAGTTTAACATTTAAACCTATTTTCTACACATTCCAGCACATAAAATAAAATATTTTTTTGTGTTTTCACTCACTCTTTCAAACAGATGCAAGTAAAACACAGCAGAAAATAAATAAAGTCAAAGACTCAGCGGTCCTTTTGCTCTATTTCACCTGTAAAGCAGGAGCAGGGTAGGCGGAGGGTTACCCTGGTGTAGGTTGTGCTGCGGTCAGTTGAAGAATCCGCGCGAGTGTCTCTGGTGAGTTTCCCATCACGTCGTAGCTACTCGGTGCTTGCTCGGAAGTTTAGGGGTTTTTTTTCGCTGTAAAAGAAGTTTCTTCCCACGCACGATGGACGCTAATGTTTTGTCACTTTTTATGGAATCAAACTCAAAGTAAGGTCGAAGTACTTCCACACTTTAAACGGCTGCAACGCTCATACTCTCTCCCGCACTAGATATATTATCCATTGTTGATCTGCACACAGCTGCTGTCACCAACGTCACACTTGCTTACGTCACTGTCATGAGACATTCTCGCAAAAAAAAAATCACGGTTTTAGTAACGCAGCGTTCCTACGGGAAAGTAACGGTAATCTAATTACCGATTTTGCAATAGTAATCCCTTACTTTACTCGTTACTTGAAAAAAGTAATCAGATTACAGTAACGCGTTACAAGTAACGCGTTACTGCCCATCTCTGGT